ATTTTTTTCAAAACTCCAACAGGTTACACTGTGGGCCTATATAAAATATACTGTTGCTTCCAGCTGCAATCAACACTAGGGGCAGTAAAACCAATTTTATTGTATTAATTTTCACATAAATTATGATTACGGGCATATTGCCAAATAATAAAGACTTTTTTTATGCACTTGCATAATACGTTCCTTGCACAATACCATGTTATGGCCTCAAAACACTTCTACTAGAGTGGATGATTTATGAACTTATACATTTTAACATTTGCATCATATAACCAGTTCCATTCTGTATTTATGGCTTTTGTGATGTAGTAAACTTGCTTGTTAGCTCACCTGAAGATTGCTCTTGTGATGCAGAGTGCTTGGTTACAAGTCACTTGAAACACAAGTCATGATAAAAGAGCTAAAAGACTTGTAGAAGTAAGGTAAATGGAACGGTTGCTTCAGCAAATGCATCTTTATCTCACGCTTGCTTTTGTTAACCCTCGGTTAGGTTTAGTGGGTGGTAGGCCTACTTTTATTTTCAAACTTGATAGAGCACTAACCTTTTAGTGCTACTCACAGGACATTTAATTTCTGAACTGCCTAGATATGTACAACCAATGTAATAAAACATTGCCTTTAGAATCACTTACTGGACTTTGAAAGTGTCACGAAACTTGCAGGACGCAAAAGTGTCAAAAAGAATAAACAAATGATGACAGAATTTTACTTTTTGGGTGAACTGCACTGTAAAAACCTCCTGTAGAAATTACAGTAACTTACTGTAAGCAGTTTAGAGTAAAACATATTGTAATATTTACATTGCTAGTTACCTTGCTGTAAATGTATTTACAGTATAAAATTTTTACTGTAAAATGTACAGTCATTTATATATACTGTACCTCTCCTTATTTACATTTGTAGAGAGAAAAAAGTTACCAAGGACTTTGATGGTGTAGGCCTGTAATGAGCTGATGTTAATGTTCCAAAGGCCCACTGGATCAAGGATAGACAGATGAACTGTGTAAAAGTTGCCCACATGCTCAACCAACCCCAGTTTTCCACTTAATTCTTCATTGGTCTGAGAATCCCCTGTGGAGGTAAATAATGCCATCAAAACTGATCATTGATAATAAATATGATAATTTATTTGCAATACCCGGCTCAGTATGTCTACACACCTAATGGGCTTGTGATGTTGAATGCTAGAGAATTGCCTGTAATATAGATTGTCATATTTTTCATTGAGGAGTCCACAATGAAAGAGAAGGTTTCTGCTCTTCCTGGGTTCCTTACAGTTTGGAAAACAGTTACCTGAAGACACAGAGAAAATGTTGTATGCATATTGATTTTGGCTACATGATATCTCAATGAAACACAGTTTTAAAAACATTCTTCACTGTTGTGGATGGTGAGGATTCTTATTCAACCATGTGCCTGAGAAAACAACTACTCCACTGTGTGAAAGGTCTGAGATATTGATTTCATTACTAGAGCAGATGTGGAGGCATCCGCTATAATGTTGGTGGCTAGAGGAAGTGTTGCTTTGGTGACTTCAATCGCCAGTCCTCCAGAGGCCAGAGCTAAATCCACATAGACCTGATTTAAGGGATTGGAGATCCTGGTGGAGTAATGCTGATTCTGTCTTTGATTCGGATCATCGCTCCTTCTTCGGCGAGCAGCAAGACTATTAGTCAACATAAAGTTCACCTATAAAAAAGAAGAAAAGAAAATGTGATTTATTGACTTCCACGATTTAGCAACTTGTCTATTTAGACCTACCAAATCATATCAAAAATAGACCACCAAATCATAACAAAAATAATATACAAATAAACATGCTGTGTAACCAATGAGTGACCAACACTCTTATGAAGACTTATTACGAGTGTTTTTTTATTTTTTCATGTAATATTATGCAAAT